GTATTACGTATTGTTTCATCGCGCGCATGTCGTTTTGTTTGTGCAGGCGATGCTGACTGAACAACATTTGGGAGTCGGGCGACAGCTGGCCAACATCATCGACAGCAGCAGCGGGAAGGCAGCGGTGCCAAGGCGACCGTAGTCCGGAAGGTACGCCAGTCCGGACGGTGGCGTTCCCGCGAGGGCAGCGGCGAGCGGCTATAGTCGCCGGCCGAGCAGGCGTGGTACCAGCCGTCCCGTCGATTCAGTCGCCGCCTGCTGCAGCATCCATCTACTCGGGAACGCGCCGAGCACCGGTCCCAGTCATGCGTGTCAACTCGCGTCCGCACAGCCGCCGGCCGGGCGTGACCATTCCGCGGCGGCGCGCGTGCCCGCTGGGCCAGCAGCACCGGCATCGGCGGGCGTCGTCCACGCCGACCGCCGGCGCACGCGGACGATCCGCTGGGCGGGGCCGGCCGTGCAACCGGTGTCGACACCTGGGCCCGCGGACTGCGGGCCGACGGCAGTTCGGTGCTGTCATCGCTGACCAGGCGTGGCCGATGCTGCGGCGGCCGTGCACAGGCCGCAACGCAGTACACCACAATCGCTGCCGCACAGACAAGCGCCTGGCAGCAGCGGCCGCGGTCCCAGATTCAACGCGGACGACGCGGTGCAGGACGTGCGCAGAGTACCGTCGCCGGCGCCCAGACGTGGACAGGTGCTGCTGCAGGTGTCCGCCTGCCGCAGCAGCAGCAACAACGCGCTGCCGTTCAACTACTGCCGCTGGTGAGATGGAGGCGAGGATAACAGTGGAGCAGCTGTGGCCGACACCCGAGCCGTCGGCACCCCGGAGTCGGGCGTGCTCAAGCCGGCCAGCCAGACGGGCGTCAGGCGCAAGGTGCCGCCCAAACCCCCGCCGAAGCCCAAAATGAAGGGTGGCCCGTTGTTCGAAGACGAAGGCGAAGACGGTACCGAAGTCTGAGGTCCGTGTCTACGCCCCCCACATCCACTTCGCCGCGTGCCACACGACGAATCCTCTGTACTTCCATGATTATAATATACGTTATGATATGATGTCTCTTTATTATGTATTATTACGTACTCGTATTTTGTTCATATGTATTCGTGTGTATCCGATAGCGTACTAATATTATTTTTTCTCTTTTTTTATTCGTCCACTCATCGTAAGGCCTTGTACATTTTTCGTTTTACCACATACCTTTCGGCTGCTACAATCGTTTTGGTTTTTTTTTTTTTTTTTATTATTTACTTTGATTTTGCCCTTCCCCTACCCATAGTCGTATGAAAAATGTGATTTAAAGAGAAAGAATTGAAACGTGTTGTTCTATAGTTATATAATATGTATTATATTGCCTTGTCGTCGTCGTCGTCGCAGTTCGATTGTGGATTGTGTGCGACACAGCTAGTGTTTTTCGTTTCGTTTAAGAAAGTATATTATATTATCAAGATTATCTCCTCCCAAAGTTTTTATTCTTATAGATTAATAAATAATATCGAAGATTGCATAGTGCGTTAGCCCCTCGGGGATCAGCGCGAGTCCGACGTATAAAAATCAATGGAAAATCCATGCTCCTCGTGTATGTTTAACCTATTTAACGATGTATTGCGCACACCGTGTTGAAAATATTTTATATTATGAGGATGCTCGTTTTCGGATTGAACGTGTTGTGTTTGTGTACTAAGATAGTATATTATGTTGTGTTGTAAATTTTTTTTTATAAATGTATTTATGTTGATAATATTATGTTTCTATGAATCAGTTTCGATGTTGTCGCAGTCATTGTCAATAAAAAAAAAAAAAAAATAAAAAAAAAAAATAAAAAAATATAGTTGTATATTACATAGTGGGCGGTATATTATGTATGAAATGTGTTTGTACTCATGTTAACCTCTGTTGTCTATAAATTTATTATTATTTATTGTCTTGTTGGTGTTATTTATGGTCCCTTTTTTAATTTGTAGTCGAAAAAAAATCTAATTAAGTAATTATTATGACTTCCTACTATCACATCGAATTCTTCAACTATTTTATTTTACAATTAACGCGTCATTCATGTATTTTTTTTGTTTATTATGGGACTATATTATCATTTGTATTGGATATTTTTCAATTTTTGTTTCAAACAGTGATAACGCGCATTTTAATTCGGCAATTAATGAATGTTCAATTTTACTCTTTGTGTGTGTTTTAATATATTTTTTAACAAATTTGTTTTTTTTATACTTGCTTTGAATACCATTATTTTTTAACTGTACAAACGTATTGATAATATTTAAACTTAATGTAACTAATATACTATATTTTGTATGTATTAATTAAAACTTTTTAATCAAACGATAAATGTTAAATATGTATTAACTTTTTTTGTTTGATTTTGCTAACATAACTTTTAATTACAGTTATTTGATTTATTTTTTCCAAAACAATGTTAAAAATATAATAATATTGTAAAATAGTTAAATCATGAATATATGATTATATATTTATTGTTTATTATTAAGTGTAAAGTAATTTGATAAAACATATTACGGCCTCTTCATGACTCTTGCCAATAGCAAATTTCAAAGATATCAACAAAAAGGTTTTTGTAGAAATAAATGAATTTTTAAAAGTTCCTGTATTTGTATTTTATTTTATTATTATTTTGTATTTTGTTTTTTGTTTTTTTTTTTTTTTTTATAGTTATTATTAATTAAAATACATAACGATTTAAAACTGATATTCTTTGAAAAGCAAATGTTAGTGTAGGTAAGCTACTAAAGTTGACCACAAAATGAGATACTATTTCTTGACAAATTATTTCTCTATTATTATTATTATTATTATATGAATATTATATTATTGTGCTCGCTAACGACTGAAAAATATGGAGGCAAAATTGTAATTGTATAATTTATAAATTATAACTGTTGTAAAAAAGATGATTGTTGTTTCATTTAAAAATTAAATTTAACATGGCGAACATAGTTGGAAAATGTATATTAAAAAATAAAATAAAATATTATTTGTGTTAATATTATAGTATATTTTGTATGAAAAATAAATAAATGTCAATAAGAACATTTCAAATGAAATCAAATGTGGTATTTTTTCATTTTTAATATATAAGTATATTTTTTTCAATTAATTCCAAGACAAAGAAAAAAGTTGTTTCAGTTGTAACATTTGTCACTAGTTGAAGGAACTTATTCTTCTTATTAATAATAATAATAAATTTATTAAATTTAATTCTTTTAAAATTATTATAATTGCCTTATAATGGATACAAAAATCTTTATCCTAATATTAGTTGTTACTGTCCATATTAAATATTGTCCTTTATTAGTTTTAGTCTTATGCAATAGCATTACCTACAATTTATTTAATTTTTACTGTTTGTAATCTGAACTACTCTAATGAAACTATAGATGTTGCCTTTTGCATTACTTTGTTGTATTTTATTATTTTTTTGTAATATTTCAAATTTCTTTAGCACTTTATCTAAAAACATGAATATATCAACTTCGTCCCCACGATATTTATTTTAACCTTTTAATTAATTTATTAAAAAGAACCTTGTTTTTATAAAAATAAATGGATTCTAATCACTTAAAAAAAAAAATTAAATAAAACAGCTTTAACATCTACATACTTAATAACCAAATAATAATAATCATTAAATAAATTATTTATTTAGGTGTGCTTTTTTTTAATCTGTACAACTAATGGTAACTGAATTTAAATTAAGTTTTATACTTAGAAAAATTTCTAGTTTATAACTAAAATTTAAGATTTTTATCTAGGTATATCTACTGCACTACCTAATCAAAATGAGTGTACATAGTTCTTTCAAAATTTAATACACGTCTTTGAACTATACATTATTTTACGTATGTTAGTGCCTTTAAGTGACGTACCCTTATATTTTGCAACAGCTAACTGTTAATTTTGTTTTAAATAAATACTATAAATTATTTTGTATTGTGCAACTATAAAACTAAACGTAACGAAAAATTAATAATACTATTAATTTCAGAATGAATTATGAGCAAAACTATTTTTGCCATATATTTGACTATTACAATTAAAAATAATAATAATTTAGTGTAAAAATGTGTAAATAATATGCTGTAGATGATATAGAAAAGTCCTTTATACATAATTCATAATTAGAGCCCAGATTTCAATACAATATAATAATATATATTTTATTATTTTTTGGGTGCTCTTTAGGATAATGCACTCCAAATACATAATTCGTTTCATAAAACACTAACAGATACTTCAAAGGTGAGACTTATTTAGTATTTTTTAACATTGTTGAGTTAACAGTTTTGAAAATATATTAAAACATTATACAAGCTTTTAATGTGAATTAGAAAATTCAAAATATTTGTTTTAAAATTTTTTAGATATTTTTAATCCATACCACAAGCGTCAAAGTGAATCTGCATTCCCAGACTCCCAGGCTACCATCGCGTTAAGTCATGGTGTTTGTGCTAGTTAGGCGACTAACCGGAACTTTCGAGAACTTCCGGATTTTCTCATATAATCCTATGTCTTTATATTATATATATATACTACGACTATACGTGTCTCATCACACCATGGAGGATACAAATCCAAACCCGTATACCTCAGGCCTGAGAAATTGTCAATGGTTTGTAAATTTTACACGTAAAACATATAAGACACTTTAACCCCCGTAAGTAATAATAGGACTACGTGAAAGCACCGAATTTCCAACCAGCACTATGTACTAAGATTGATAGATCCGGTTCCGGAACCGGATGACAACTGCAAGAGTTTCTCAGCCGACGTCGGCGTCCGTAATTATAATTAATTATATGATATGGTTAAAATAGACGCCAAATAAAATTTTCTATAGCGTAAAAATATAAATCATTGTTTATAAAATTTAATGTTTTCGTGTCAAATATAGGAAAATTAATATAAACTAATATATAATTACCAATTACTATAAAACGGTATTAACAAATTTACGATTAATTCTGAAATAAAAATTGAACATTTATATTTTAATTTATATTTACTTGCATAAATTCAAATTTCATTTTGACATATTATACATGTGTACTATTATTTTTCATGCATAGTGTCGTTTACTACGCGAGAATCTGAGATATAATAATATATATTATACTGTTTCGTCGTCGTTTGTTCGGCCCAAGGGAAATATTGTACAATATGATATTTGCTTTTATTAAATCAACACTTGAAACCGTTTCTACTAGTTTTAATATACATAATTTCGCGCATATATGCGTAGTCGCGTTGACGTTTTTGCACCCATATGCATGTCATTGGCTCAATAAAATGTTCTTACCTTTTTTTTTTTTTTTTTTTTGTAAAATATTTTTCTCTCATCACACACACTTTTAAAATAATTTAAATAATTAAGATTTCATATACTAAAAGCGACGAATTGTGTGAAAGACGAAACAAATCATAAAATAAAGCGTAAGGCAAAACAACATAACACCAACGGATACGACAATATGGATAGGTATAAAAGAAATATAAAGATTGTAAATATGAATTTTCTAAGGAGGGGGATCCATCCTGAAAATTTACAAAATATTTTTAAAATATCGTAAATAAAGAAAAAGGAAATAAAAATATTTGGTGAAAATTTCAAGTATCTATGAAAATTTGTTTTTTAGTTACACCTATAAAAAAAAAAAATTGATTTTGTCAAAAATTGAATTTACGTAAAAATTCTGGGCTTCCTGAATATTTTGTTTGTTTTTTTCTGATTATAAAAATAAGTACTGTTCTAGAAATTGAATCTCTTTAAAATACAAACTAGATTCAATTTAATATCCAAAACCATTCCCATTTTTGAAAATCAAAGCATTTTATCATTTATCGTGTACATGTACACAAAAAAAGATAGATTATTGTAAAATTAATATATTCTCAATCACTCAGAATTTAAAATAAATAAATAAAAGTATTGATTAGAATAATAATTATTTAATTTATCAATTCTTTCTGTTACACCAGTATAATAATATGATATTATCATTATCATTAGAGAATGGGGGAGAAAAGAAGCTAATCACTGATATTCTAAAAATAGAATATATGTTAAAATTAATTAGAAATTAAAAAAGAATTGCTTGAATTATTATTGATTAAAATATATTATTTCATTAATCGTTATCCCATAATGGTATTGCTAATTTTACCTCTATTTTAATTTCTTTTATAATATAGAATGTGTTAATCAATTACTTAGTACGTTATTAATTTTTTTTTTTTTTTAATTGTTTTCCCTGTAAAACATAAAAGTTCCAATATAAATAATTATAATGTAAAGGAAAATTAATAATTTTTATTTAAATTTAAATATTTTATTAACTAACTTTAAAGATGAAACAAGTTACAGCAATCCTAATTTTGATTTATTTTTATATTTAATTTAAATTGTTTTAAAAACATAAAATTTAATGATTATAAAATGTTTTTACTTCCAACTTTAATCTTGAAAGGTAAAATTATTTAATCTTTGATTCATCTTCACAGAAAACTCAAGTCTATTTACAATTGAACCAGAAAAACTGCACAAAAAATACATTTTTAAATGGCATTTTCCACCTGATAACTTCACAACTTTTTCCAAAAAACCCCGTTTAATGAGCTCTGATATATCCTTTGTAGATAAATCTAGGCAACAGCCCTGTACGTCTCTAAACTTTGATAAGAATCACAAATCAGTACAAGAATTTATTAAAACTTAACTCCAACTAAAACATATACATGCACAAAATAAAGTATGGTAGAGTTAGTTTTCCCAAGTTCTCCTTTTACCTACGGTCCATAATTCAAAAATCTAAATTAACAAATGTAATACACACGCCTATATAGCCCAAATTTAAAAAGAAAATTTTATTTAATTGAAATAGATACACCTAGAAAATTTTAATTTAAGACAATAATTACAACAACAAAATACAATAATTCATGATAAAATAGCTCTTATTTCAAAATAAAAATAATCTTAATTCTCGTAATAGTTTTAAAAACTCAATAAATATGCATGACTTTTCTTTTACAAACTTCAAGGCAATAGGGGACATTAAATTAAAAACAATTAGCTTTAAATATATGGCATAACTCATAAATCATCAGCAGTATAAACATTTTTACGTTGATAAAGAATAAATCAATCAAAATTACTACCATACCAGCTTTTAGTAAATTATTTTTTAGTGATCTTCAAAATCAA